CAGCACAAACAAGCAAGAGCTGGTTTTTTTTGTTCGTATTTTAAGTTGTGAGGCTGTCATTTAAACGACTACAGTATGGCGGAGAATGATCATTCAGGTAACCAATTGAAGCGGTAAATGTTTTATGCTTGCCCATACCCTGTTTGAGTAAAATGTGAAATAACACAGGTGTCCTGTCTGCACTAACAGTGTACAACTGCAAAAGTGGTAGAACATACATTTTAGCCAGGAGTATAGGATGTCGAACGCTATGCAGGCTACTGCTAAAATTAGATTGTTTTTGTTATCTCAAATGTGAACACATGTTGATATTTTTTATGGAAATGAGCTTGCAGTCAGTCAGTTTAGTAAGACAAGCTAAAAGAGGGGGATTGGTGGACGAGTGGAGTAGCGCACAACAGCTCGGGGCACATGGAGCGAAAGCTCGCGCTGCAGAGCTTTCGCTAAAGCCTAGGGTCGTTAAAGACCCTAGGCTTGCAGGGGTACTGCACTGGCTACATTTCTCCCCTACAGCTGAGACACCTGATGCCCACTGAGGCTGAATAACTTCTGGCAGCCTAAACACACACAACACAATTATTTAGGGCTACAAAGTGATGTGACTGGGAAACTGTGTACAGAATACTTAACATGCCACATGAGAAATTTAGTGCAACTAAATTCTGGTGAAGGGGATCCAGCCAGGAATAGGAGAGGCGAACCAACCGGGAGCGAGCAGCTAGTGGCAAGGGTTGAACAGCAGAGTTTGGCGTGTCCCGTGCAAGTTGACTCCGATGATCACCCTGACGAGTGTTTCAGTGACAACCAGACAAACTCTGTAATGACCTAAGGCCCTTGCGGGAATTCTCGGCGGCGACCCCGGGGCACCTGCAGACGAGAAGCTGGAATGATAATTCACCGGCAGGAGCAACTCTTGGCAGCGACTTGAAGGAACCCACCCAACTATCTTTAATTCTGGCAGGTGCCCGAGGCATTGCCATTTTAAGATAGGTAGGTGCCCGCAAGTGTATGAATCCAGGTGCCACTGTTAGAGCACCTGGATTCGACGACCAAGCAGGTGAACAGCTGGTTTGCCGGAGCTTCGAGACGGTGACAAGACCGGTGAAGAGAACCGGAAAATCAAGTCCACACAAACTGAGGAGGATTCAAGTATATTTGCACATTTGTATATATTTTTACCGTTTTCTAAATATACACTTTTTTCAACCCTATAACGGTCCAGCCAACTCGTTTTTCATTTGATATGGTGACAAGAGGGTCATTGTTCGTGTTGAGAGACTGCTTCATGCCTGTGAAGGCCCAGGTAGGTTGAAATATTCAAACGAGGTTGCACTGTTTCAGGAAATATGCAGTCAACCCGCATTTTTCCAGAAACAAATTTTGAAGTTGCAGATTTTGTGATACTTCACAATAGCATGCCAAAGCTTTGATAAGTGTCCCTAAGGTGCGACTATCTTATATTTCGCATATAACCGTGTGAAGGTCCTTCGCAAGCGAACCTGTACGACTCCGCGGTACAGATGGTACAGATTCGGCGTTGCAGTCTCCCGCGGTGCGGAATCCTTCCGACATGTCTCGGAGTTCAGCGAAGTTGGCTGCTATCGTAGGCAGTATCTCGGATGTGCGCTTCTCGCGGTCGAGCACCAGTCTAAACAACTGTTCGTGTGGGACTGGTTCAGCTGGTCTGGCATTGTACGTACGTACCTTCCGAACACGACATTTCACGTTTTAAACGCAAACAAGTCAATCGTCTTTTCTCCAGCTAGGCTTAAAGGCTTCAGTAGCTCGGCGTACAATACAAACAGTATCGCCTCCATCAAACTGACACTGGCATTCTGGAGTGCGGCGTGTTTCAATGCGCGGAGATGCTCGAGACTATAAAAACACAATTACATAAACTAGAAACCACAAACCTTTGGAAGCGTGCGAGATAAAGCCCGCGCGCACATCAGCGTAAACACGTCCGTCCGCGTCGTCTCGGCCGTGCAATCGCATCTTTGGACGCTATTTAATGCTAGCGCAACGACTTTTGTCCCTAATTAAAAGCATCGCTAACTATTTTAACTATTATTGCACCTCGCGCAAGTGTCTATTAAAGTGCATTTGTAATTAAAACAATACAAAAATAAAAAAGGGGCTGCTGCCGCTAAAGGGAACAGCCAATGACGTCATAGTCACGTGGACCAATAGGAGCCGACATAGTTTTGTTTTGTTTGTTTTTCTTTTTTCCTTGGCTCCGCCCCCCTGTAATGGGTAGGATTTCAAAATACGCCACCGGGCGACGGCGGTGCCGTAACCTCAGCTATGGGCCTCGGTTCTTCGGAGACGACAGGTTTAACTGGGCTACCTCCTTGGAGCCTGATGCTTCGACCCCAGTGGACACCAGTCAGCAAACAACGCCACCATTATTCCTGGGGCTCCTTTATGCACCGATAAAACGGCGTACCAGATCCCCACGGTTCGTTGCTGATGCGCCCAACAGGCCTCCACGAAATCTGGAGTCCTGCGAATCGAATTGCCATCCTTCCCAATACCAACAATCCATGTCGTCGCCATCATGCATGTATATGCACACCACATTATCATGTTCAGAGACGCGGCACGGCGGGCCTCCATGGTACGGGCTGCTGCCTTTCCCCGGAGCCGCGGCACTCCAAGCCAAATAAATAAATACCAAAGACTAAATACAAAATTCTTTGCTAACCAACAGCCGGTAGTTCCTTAAAAGAGAAAACAATCGTGTTCCCTCATTTATATGATACAAGTTCCAAAACTACACCATGCTATAGTGGCGCACATCACTGAAATAACCTACGGAATACAGAAAATAACATATTGTCTCTTGAGAGCAAAACGGCAAAATACAGATAATTGGGTATTTTTCTTTTTTTTTTCTTTTTCCTTCTGAAAGTCGAATTCAGAAACCGAAACTAAACGAATGTTTTCTGAAACTCTGGGTATACAGTGTGCATCGTTTCGAAACCGTGTCAAACAAAAACACCTCGTAACACATTTGGCATTGTTTGACACCTCGAGACACTGGCTTGCACTAGCGGACCGACCGCCGGCGTAGCGTAGCGCGTAGTCGTGAAATGTCTGCGACTGGTGGCGATAATAGCTCATCCCCCCCCCCCCCCCAAAAAAAAAAAAAAGAAAACACGGCTCTGCGCGGAGAAATTTGGAGACGGCACCGCCGCGGCCGCCGCTAACATCCCGATGCGCATTCGCGTCGACTGACGCGGTCCTCCCATCCGTCAGGGCTGGATTAGGCGCTGTAGGCGTTCTCCCTAATGGAGATGAACAAAGTGGAATGTATTCTCCCTAGTAAAGTATTTGGTAAAAGCATCCTTTTGGCAGGAGCTTAAGGTTTAGGGCCCCATCCTCCTAGGCAATTGTCTGAATAAAACAACTTTTGAAATTTAATATGAATTTTTAATCTTATTCCCTTGGGAGAGGCTCATCTCTCACACATTGAAGAACCGTTTTGGACGATGCACTTTTTTACAATCGTTTGTACAAGCTTTATTGTCCCCATGAACACCTAAATATACTCTCTTTACTCCACAGGAAATGTTCCGTCGCTTCAGTCCAAATGGGCAGGGCTGAAATAAAGCCCTTTGATGCGTTTGTGTCTGCAGGTAGCGTCGAATGAGCCACTGCACAAGGCAAGGTTACTAGACACAAGTCAATTAAGAAGCTTCCTAGAACGCCTGGCATGTTTTCGTAAAATCAGTCGTCTAGAAAAGGGCGCCAGGCGAAAAGGCGCGTGACGTCTTTTCGAGACCTATCCTCTCGATGGCGCTCACGACACTATCAGCCCGCCCAATAGACAGAAGCGGCGGAACCAGTATAAAGCTTGTTTCACATGCAGCGATTTCGGCCCTAGAGCCGCGCGATTTCTGCCGGCGCGGCGCTCATGCCGCTCAACCGCTGCGGCTGGCCAGAGCGCCGCGACGGCAGAAATCGCGCCGCTCTGGGGCCAAAACCGCTGCATGTGAAACATGCTTAACTTTGGATACACATTACCTGCGTTGGGAAGTGATTCTATTGTTCTTTATGGTAAACAAAAAGCCGGCACAAAAGTTTGGACAAAAGGAGAGTCCTTGAAAAACGGTCCGTCTCCATTGTCCAAAAAGGCGTCGCTCCTAGCGGCGTCATGAACCCTCTATCTTGGGAAAAGTGGCGCCACTCATTGTTGTGGGAATGCTCGAGACACGTGCCGCGCGCCGTTTCTGGGAAGAACATGGCTTCTGATATCTAGCTCAGTGGTATGGTGGTTATTAGCGGCGAGATGTTTTGGTTTCGCCCTCCTATGGTTTCCTCTCGTGACGTCCTTACCTGGGGTGTTTTGAAATGAGCATGGTGGAAGCTTGAAATCATCGCGCTTTGAAACCAACGCTGTCGACACCACCAAAAGTGAAGTTCTTCCATTCCTCTTATTTGCGTCTATAAGAAATATTTTGCTGACGTCGTAATCATCATTCGGGAAAAATTGTGGAAGGCCGATTACAGCGACGCTTTCGATTGCTCACGTCGCCAATAAGGGCCACCATATCAGTGCTGCGCCGTGTCGCTATGATCTTCCCAAGGGGTGCACGTTGCACGTGCCTCTTGCACCGACGCGCCTTGCGGTACTTTTAAAACATGAAGGGGCTTTATATACGCCCGTACCTGCGCGCGCGTAAACAACAAAGAAGAACCGCTTCCGAAATGTGCTCTTATTGCGCGGCAGTTGACACGGCCGAGCTATGTTCTTGAGCGCGTGTTGTCTCGTTCCGGGAAAGCGCGTGCGAACAGCCATTTTAGTTCCAAAGAAGATAGCCTCGACGGTCGGCAGCCATTCTCTTCGTGGCCAGGCCACCCATCGGATGATCGTGGAGCAGTGCACCGGTGTGTCCTTCGGACGCAGTGGTGCCAACCGGGTACTCCTCCGATCGGCACGCGACGGCACACTGATTCATGTCATCTCTGTGGGCCTCATCCTCACCATCTTGATCACCATGGCGGCCATGTTTCAGGTAAGAACGCACAGAGACGGGAGACGTCACCCGCGTGGAAAACACTAGAGCTACCAAAACTGGTACGATCAAAGAATTGGCACTCCGCGGCGCGTGGCCCAATTCTCATGGGCGCCACAGTTTTGGTGCCAAAGTAGACGCAATTGGCGATTATTATTTTAGAAAGTCGACCTTTTGAGCCTGAGATACGGTGGTCGGAAGCTCAAGCGGTGGGTTTCGCTCTGTCTCGGACTGTTTAGCAATTTCGGTGGACGAAATACCGCTTTGTACTATTTCAGGTGAAGATTCAGATAAACTGGAAACAAACAATTTTAAAGAGCAAGGTCCGGTAGCTGGAGACGGGCAGGCGGGGAAAGGGTCAGGGTACCCAGCCGGTCAAAACGCGGGGCATGAACCAACTGGATGGGAAAACAGAGCTCCAAATGTAAGCGGAAGTCGCAGGGGAGGCTACTGCATAGATCACGAATTCACACAAAATGCCCAACACAAAGAAAATAGTCGTAAATCCAAATCCAGATCCAGATGAGTGAAGGGTCATTACCCTGAAGCGTAGCTTATTAACTCGCACTAAAGAATACGGTACATTTGCCTTACCTAGAAAAAAACCCTGGCGCGTTTCAGTTATTATGGTAGGCTCCTTAAATCAGTAGCACAATGTAAGGTGAGGGTGAGGACACAGCACGGCGAACATTTAGACTGGATCTACCAAATAATATTCTAATGGCGAGCGCCCGAGTAGCCTCAGCCGGCAGCGTCTCCGCCGCCCAGAGGTTGCAACTGAGGGAAAAAGTGAAAAACCCAAACCCCCAAAAGTATCGTTCACTACCCTTCCGAAAAAACCCAGTATAACTTTTCATTATTTGGGTCTTGGAACTGGAAATCTAACGGGAATTGTTCCTGGAAACCTGAAATTCAGTTTGCAGACAGAAGAAAATTTTTCGAAAAGCTCAAATCCAGATAGAATCCAGATAGATTTCAAGTTCCATAATCCAGACAGCGAAAAGTTGCACTAGGTTTTTTTAGTAAAGTAGACAACCGGGCAAGCGATCTCTCCGCTCGGAGCGCTTGTTCTGACCTTGACAGACTTCTCCACTTCGCCGCTTTCATAAGACTGGTACTGCCGCCGTTGAGGCACAAAAGGTCAATGACGAAGCGGTGTCTAAACAAAATGCGCGTCGCACAAGGGCCAAGTTCTGCATCACGTGGCGTACCCAAAAAACGGCTTTAAAAAATAATATCTCCCATAGTGAAGCATACAAAACTAAGCCCTTCTCAGGCTGCCATTAACCGCATAGTGAGTCGCCATCTGGTGGCACCGCCTGCAGCCAAAGCGAGGGGAGGGCTTTATTTGTCAGCTGCGACGCTCACGTTGTGCACACCTATATATATCTGACACCGTGGTCAATAGTGAGAAATCCTGACGCTGAGGATTTTGTTTTATGGCCTAAAAGCTGATTCCTGTTTTCTCGTTTCTTTTTTTTTTCTCCAAAATACGGCCTTGCACGCGCTGACTGCTTTGCTCTTGCTTTGATGTCTGTTGTCGCTGCGGCTGCGGCAGCCGTGACTGCCTTGGTCTAAATGATAAAGACTGCATAAGGATGAGGAAATAAAAAATAATACGTAAAGCTGGTTCCCACACTTTAGTTAGGTTGCGCTCTGTAGCTTCGTGCTCTCGTGTCGTTTTCTACGACGAGAGAGAACACAACGGCACGCTGTCAACAACAATAAGGTGGCCCTGGAAATGCTTTCCACTTGAGAGAGAGAGAGAACATGTATTTATTTAATGAAAGGTTCACTCGTCTATGGGTTGGTGTCTCTGAGGCAAGAGGGAAAAGGAATGTAGGGATTGATAGGAAAGGGTAAGTGACTATGTATAAATCTAGATGAAGTGATGGACCCCAGAGTCCCTGTTGTAGGTGATCAAGGATGGTTTTCACTAGAGGGAACGTTTTGCAGTACTATTTGCGAGGTCAAATGTGCATGCTATCTATGAGAAATTGTCGTTTATAACATTGCCAGGAGTCTTTCAAGCTCATGATGCAAACGATGCGCGAAACAAATAGTAAATATGCAGAAATGGCCAGTGTTTTACGGCTACCCGATAAATGGCGCAGTTATGTTTCTTTCTTCGTAAGAGATGGGGAGACTACCCAAGGAACCTATTTGCAACTGAATTCAACTGTGTGAAACAGCCTTGAAACAAGTAAAATAAAAATGAAAGACGTTTACAGCTTACTGTAACGCCGAATTAGAGCGCAGCTATTGAGGAGGAGGAGGAGGGGAGGGTACTGAGGGGAGGGTGTGCCCTTACTCCTCATCCGTACCCTCTCCTCATCCTCTCCTTCTCCGGTGCTCCCCCCTCCTCCTCCTGTCCTCCGCCCTCCTCATCGCCTTCTCCTCCTCACCCCTCCTCCTACCCTCTTCTCCGTTACAATTGAAAACGAGCGTGTTGGTTAATAGATACAAAACTTGAAAGAATAAAACATAGAGGACAAGGACGGGAACAGGACATCGTTCAATCCATTGTGGCGGCGGAGAGCTTTTCGTAGAAAGCATCACGGGAGGTTCAAACTTGGTGCTGTAGACACGAGGTGTTGACTTCCTTGAGCAGTTTATTCCACGATGCTTGAAGAAGACTGGCCGCAGCATCCATGATGAACTTGTACTCCATTCGGGCGCTGAATCCTTGCCCGAATAGTTTCTCCATTTGGGGGGGAAGCACTCTTTCAATCACGTGAAGTTCATAATAAATTTCTTTTCTTGTAATCTGCATTACTCGGTAGCATGAAGCCCAGTTGTTGCAGCGGAACCCAAATGCCAGCTCTACACAGGAATGAGGCAAATCCTTGCGAAGGTTGAGGCCCAGCGAAAGATGTCCTGTTCCCGTCCTCGTCCCCTCTGTTTTATTCTTTCAAGTTTTGTACCCTCTTCTCTTCTCCTCCACCCCCTCCTCCCTCCATCTTCCCACCTCCTCCTCCTCAAACTCTATCCCCTCCTCCTTCCTCCTGTCCCCCTCCTCCTCCCCGCACGTTGCATCATGGGACGTTTCCCATAATGCAACGCGTGTTGTGAGGTCACGTGTCGTCACATGACCTTCATGACGTCACGTGACCCTCGTGTGGTCACGTGACTCTCGAGAGGCCACGTGACCCTCATGACGTCACTCGTGACGTCACGAGTCCCCCGCGTCGCATTATGGGACATTTCCCATAATGCACCGCGCGGACACGCCGACGGCGACGCCGACGTCACACAAGCCGGAAAAGGGCGCGTAAGAGCTGCGCTCTAGAAAAAAAAAAAAGAAGAAAAAGAAAACTCCTGTCTTATGTGCTACTCTTCCGTATCTTTTTTCTCGTGCGCTGTTTCTATTATTGTCTAGTGTCCACCAACTTGCCCAGCCTAATACTTTACTACTTTGGTGTCCTCATCTCCTTTCTCGCGTTCGGAACGGGGAACGCGTAAATATTAGCGGAGGTGTTGATTGGCATTTATTGCTCGCTGTGATTAGTTGAGTCCTGTGACATACGTCGTAGTCAGACTCGCGGAGCTGACACAGACTGCCAAAATTCTTCTCGAATCTCGAAATAACAAAAAATTGGCCGGACACCTATGGAGCGTCATAGAGTGATGTCTCGTTTACCCTTTGACGGTCGAGCTTTTTCTCGAAAGATGCTTTCCTGTGGTAAATATTTGTTTACAAAAAAATAGTGTAAACAAAGGATCAAAGTACGTGTGTTTGTCTTAATTATCTAGTGGAAACCACTATGTAGTACAGTGCTTGCAAGCTGTTTGTGTTTGGAAGCGTCAAATAAAAAGAGTGAAGGCAAAAAGTTGTCACCTCTCTTCCGTTGAGTTTTATTTTGGCAACTCCACTTCGGCGACTTTCCGGTAGTATATATATTTTTTTTTTAATTCAAGGTACTATACAGATTTTTTGCATTGAGTGATAAGATCTCATCCCCTGAAATAAATTAAGAAGCGTTAAAAGCCTAAATTGGAAGAGCTGACGCTCGTATTGCCACTATACTGCCAGAGCAGCCGACTTGCGAAGCGATCATCTCGCGCGTGTTACGTGCGCAGAGAGCCTAATTTCAAAGCTATAAACAGCCCCAGCAAAGCTAGACACCTTGCTATTATAACATTCATAGCTCGCCAAAGCTATAACCAATAGCATTACCTCCCACAGTGCACACGATTTTGCGTTTAGGTGTATAATCGACGCCGTGGGTGACGACTGTCAAAGGGTGAATATGTACACCTCTTCTTCCTCCCCAAAAATCGTTCATAATATGAGTTGTTTTGAATGAGGAAAACAAATGCATGTTTTCGCCTAGTATTTTCTCGATTTTGTTCGGCATATATCGGGATACCCATATTAATATGGTCCTTATTAAAGGCAGATGACTGAATACGGTCGTCCGATTTGCCCTGCACGCTTGTTCTGTAGGTTTTGCGTGTGTCTGTGTAAAATACTTTCCAGATATCTCACGGAGGCGTAAAGTTAGAGTTCGACTGGCACAACGTTAACACCCAAGGGTCACAAAAAATATCCGAGGTCTGCATTTTATGCTACGGAAGGGTACCGAAGTACGGAGGAGGGACCTTTGTGCAACATAAATTTGTTAACACCATTCCTATCGGTGTGGTTTACTGGTGTGAATCAATTATGAACGCTGATCGCATATTTTAGGCGTATGTACCTTTAATCCCAGTCGTTTGCGGCACTCGGTTCATTTTTGTTCAACTGGGCGAGCGTTACCAAAGTTTGTTGGTGATCGTCATTCGCTGATGTAAACATTTTGTATGCAAACTCCTAGAGCTTGAGAATTATATAGTTCAGTCATTTCGCTAAATATTACTGTAATCGCAATGTTATAAACACCAATTTCGAACGTTACTGTAAGTTACCATGTGTACAAATATTGTAGAATTGTGCGTCGTTGCGCTCGCTAACTTGTAGCACCAAACGTTACATAGAAAATCTAATGCAGAAAGTGGGAGGCAAAATGTACTGGAGTATATTATTTTCCTTGAAATGCGTTTTGTTTCTTATCAATAAATTGTACTTATTCCGACTGTATCACACATCAAAATAACACAACGTAATATGTACACAAGCAAGAATGTCAAATATGCTTTAGCACACACATTCAGCAATATCAAACCTACTTGAGCGAAAACCGTAAATGCACAGGTGATGTCTATAAAGGGTTAGCAACTGTGAACCGAATCATGATGCCGGCTACATTTTATTGAGAAAGAAAAAATATATAATAATAATTGTAAGACTGAAATTTTCCTGTCCTTTTTAATGCTGGCGAAACGTCCAGACTGCTCAATCTGCCACTACTTTTATTAGGCCGCTGCAGAGGAATTCATATTTTTTCCCCTCACTTGTCAAGTTATGGAAAACACAAAAGTTATAGGTATATATATATTTTTTTTTAAACCTTACATAACAGGTGTTCCTTGTCAAGAAGATATCTCTCAAGACCCACGTCCTGAGTTGGGGTCCCTTCCAAGCCCGGGCCAAGGACCGACTCGTGGCGTGCCCGCTCTGCCAGGGCGGAACCGATAAGTCGGCGGCCGTCATAGAGTCTCAACCCTTGAATGTCGACCTGGCAGAGCGTCTGCCCGACTTTCCCGGAACACCTGGGTACGCTGTAGATCCGACACCGTACTATGATCCACAGTCACCGGAGAGTTTTTAGGGAATCGTTCTTGTAGCACCCGATTCGGTACGATTAACCCTCCGGTACGAACTGCGCAAGTGATTCTTCTGCGATAGCGCAAGCGCAGTTCGTACTGGAGGGCTTATCGTACCCTACCGGATGTGCAAAAAACGTTTCCTAAAACTCTTCACTGACAGCTGAAAAGACGACCTGTGCATCTCATTATCGCTCCACGGCCAATCAGATCTCGGCCCTAGCTGATAAGAACACCGAAGAACCAATGAGGAAGCAAGAAGCGTAATAGACAAGCGCTGATTGTTTTGGCGAGCTTATATTGTACGTGAGAAAACATGATTGCGCTTTAATACAAGGACATGGGAAGAACGGACACCACAGAGTTGCTAACTTTCAACTGATTTAATTCAAGAGCGTCGGCGTAGAAACACACTGCATCACCGCATCACATCTCAAACAGTCCGTGGGTCCCCACGGACCGCAAGTACACTGAGGCTCTTGAATTAAATCAGTTGAAAGTTAGCGCTCTGTGGTGTCTGTCCTTCCAATGTCCTTGTCTTAAAGCGCAATTATGTTTTCTCAAACGTAATAGCCCCGCCCGGCGCTCTTTAAGCTGTCAGTGACTATATGCAGCAGGATTCTTAAAGGTTAACTTTGATCAAAGGTTGAACCAAAGTAAACGACTGATATCAATCTACGGAGACTTAAGTACGAGCAGTGCCAAAATATTACACTGATGGTAAACCGCTATCCGCTTTAAAACCGATATTAAAGATGCTACCATCAGCTTCTCAGCGGGCATTGAATGAGTTGGCTATTTGTCATGCAACCTTGTGCTCTGACGTCATCATGGTCGTGGTGCCTGAGCTTGTATTCGGAAATGGCTTGCTGTGCCATTTTTCACGAACACGGGAATGACCTTGCGGGGGGACATGGGGAGGGCCAGTTTGGATGCCACGGAGGGCCGAACAAAGGTGGGTTTCGAGCGGCGCTTCAGCAGGATGAGGGAAGGGCGCTGGAAGAGATCAGAAGTACAAATATGTACACCTGAAGAATATCACGACCCCACGGGTGGGCCGAACACGCAAGCTGTCCCCGAGGTATGGCGTGAGCGACCCACTCCTCTACCCGGCCGAAGAACAGGAAGAAGAGGTGACATACCGGTCAGGGCGAACAAAAGGGAGACGCAGCGGTGAGCCGAGACGGCGGCACGAAATTCAGCGACGACCATGTACGCTAGAGAAAAGCAGGAAGTCAAAAGGGTGGGCTTCCTGGATAACAGCAAAAGCAGTAAACCACGCTTCGACGCCCGAAGCGGGATGGTGCGGACTCGGGTACATTGAAAAAAATACTCAGATGTGGACATGAGATGCACCGGGCGCACACAAGGAGTCGAGGATATGGCAAAGCCCGGCATACTCGAGTGCACGGGCCTGCCGCCGCAGTGGCGTGTAGCGGGAACATTGCGCTGGCGCTGGTTTTCCGGGGCCGCGACGAGGACGAAGCCGAGCAGTGAGCCAAGCGAAGAGGCCAACCGATCCCACCAGTTGAAGCAACAAAGCGAAGACTGGAGTGCTGGTGGAAGCCGAAGCAAGCGGAGAAAATCAAGGAAAAATGCCGAGATAGAGCGCCCTAGTTGAAATCCCCGGATACAACAAAGTTAGCCCTAAATCAAAAATACAAAAATCATTCGTTTTCAACGAAATTTTTTTCGTACCGTCACTTTTTTCGCCGCGTTCTTTTGTAGCCTTTTCAGCCGTTCAAGCGGATAATTTCTGTTGTTATGTTTTGTTTTAGCGGCCGCAGTTCGTAAGCGCTCTTTAGCAATCGTGCATAAAGATTAATGACTCCCTGCTCGCTCAAGCAAATCATGGTGCTGAAGGTGGCATACAGTGGAAGGCATACTGTAGTCGGTTCCTGCTCAGTGCGAGCTTAGGATTAGCTTCCGCACAGATTCTGCAATGTTTATTGCACACCACAAAGATTGTAGTTCTTTTCAGAAGTAGCTGTTTCGGAGCCTACGTTCATCGTGAAAAACTCTCTTTTAGGCCTGCAACTTTATGCATTTGCATTACTATTTGCTACAGATGTTTAATATCTGCAGAATAAAGCTGTAAAACAGCCGTAGCGCCTTACTTGACTGATCGGACTGATCGGAACTGCTCTTGCAACTAGGCCAATCGTTGGTCTTGCGGTACCGCACTGCGAACTTTGCATCACACGCTGGCCACACACTTTATCACAAGGGTTGCCATCATTCTCCAGTCGGTGATTTCGGTTTCGCCGTAGACCCCCGGAGCGAAACTCTGAGACAGTATATCTACAAAACTACACAAGGCATCAAAAAAAAAAAAAAACTGACACCTCGTAGTTCAGGAGAACTTCCTTTACTAAAAACCGTCGTAACCCTAAAACCGAGAACATGTAATGGAGTTACCCCTTAACGCATATGCTTCCTTTCAGCTTAAGCCCAGACGCAGCGTCAAAAGCGCAAACAATTAAGCTTTTTTGTTTATGCGTTGTTCAGTGATGATACGAGACGTACGGAAACATAACGAACACCATGATGGTGTGCTTTTGATGCAGTAAAATTTGTCCCATACCCTAGGCACCATCAGCTGGTAGATTCGACTGTGTCTGAACTTGAGGTGAAACAAAATATAGAACCCGTGATTTCTTGTCCTTTCTAGAGTTTCACAGCTCTTTTCTTGAATGATGATTAATCAATAACGAGTCAATACTTTCATAATCTACTTAGACGAAGGGGGATTGGTGGCCCAGTAGACTAGCGCACACCAGCACGAAGCACGTGGAGCGAAAGCTTGCGTTGCAGAACCCAGGAGTCCTGGGCTCAATTCACGCACCTGCCCATTTCGACTTGGCTAAATTTCGAATCTACAAATAACACATGAGACGTCCCTGGAGGCTGAATGACTTCTGGCTGTATAAACAAACGCACAACGCAATTTCACTAAGATGATCGATAGCTGCATCGTGGATGCATTCTCTCGGACTGATAAAACAGAAATGAAACATTTAATTTATACAAAATGAGGAGACAACTAGGCATTCTCAACATAACTTCTGTTCTATTTGCACTACCAAATGTTTTGCAAAACATTTGGTAGTCCACTAAGCTTTCTCAGCATCCCCGCATGAAAAAATGCAGCAGCTCCCTGAATGACGCCCTTATGTCCTTCCTTTCAACCCAGATATGGCCTTCTGGACAAAGAGTTGTACCTTGGCGCCCGCAAGAGCATCTGTCTCTTCCGGGCCAAAAACTCGGGCCTGAACCGCCATGGTATCACATACAACTTGTCCACCTTCCCGTACCACCTCTGCACGCACGCCATCTACTGGCACGCGACCGTTGACAGAACAAACCAGCTCCGAGCCGGCGACCTGGAGGTGGACGTGGTGCAGCACGGGTTCCGCAGATTCCCGGGTCTCAAGTCCGCGAATCCGTTCCTTCGCGTGTTCATCGGCGTCGAGGACGACTCTGGGCTGCACCGCGTTTCGCAGGACTCGAGCTCCACGGTCAACTTCACGCTGAAAAGCTTGCGCTGGGTCGTTGAGCACCGCTACGACGGCATCTTTCTGCGATGGACGCCTCCCATGAAGAATGGCTCTTCGAAGTTTCCCAGTCTGGCCGTGCACATGCTCAGGACCTTTAAGAGGGTACGGCATCTCTCGGTCGGTGTGGTCATGCCCGTGTACTCTACCTCCGTCGACTTCTACCCGGACCTGTCCAACCTGGTCAACATACTAGAGCCACATTCGGTAGTCGTTGATCCCCTGGCCGCGACGTCAACCGACTCGTACTTCAAGAACCTCTTTCCATATACCCCGGAGACCCTTATAAACTACGGGAAGCTCTTAAGCAAGGCCACGATGGCGGGCGGGGGTACGAACCCGACGCTCTGCTACCCGGTCTCTATTGCCGGCTATTCGCTGGCGTTGGACCAGTCCGGCTTGTCATCAGGCCGGAAGGCGGCTCCGGTACTCGTCAATCACCAGCAGCTGTCGGGTTTGGCGGTGGCCTCCTACGACTCCACGTGCCATTCATCCGTTTGGAACGACAGCATCCGTCTCAGGTACGGTGTTTATCGGAAGCTATGGCCTTTACGGGGCATGACGTGCCACGAAACAGTGCCCTTTTAAAATCCGCGTAGTGTATTTTTGTTCATACCTGGAATAGCCTTTTCTTTTCTATAAATAACGTCTCCTACAGCTACAAAGGATTCGTGCTTCTACATGAAGCGATATTGTGTGCCATCTTCTCGTACGTCTTCGTAATTCCTCACAACTGGATTTCAATTATAACTTGGGTTCCTGGTGTCGGTAAACACAAGTAAACCTTGAAAATTAACATCCTTAGCCGATTTTATCTAAATAAGGGAAAGTCGAAAAACCCCGAAATCACAGATATCCCTCTCTAAGTAAAACCCAGCTTCTCGGGAAAAGAAAAAAACCTGCAACTACAATTTTATTTTGTGTTTAATTTAAATAGAGCCACACTGAACTGTCCGCACGGCTGCTTCTTTCTTCGGAAATGAAACCCCTTATCTCGTTTCCTTCTTTTATTGGTACCGTAGCGTTTTCCAAGTATTCTGGGCACGAGCATGTACTCCGGAGGTCAGTGAATTCCTTGCCGGTGTCGTGTTTCCTTCAACAGAAGGCCTGATAAACACAGATTTCTCGTCCAACATTGAAAATGAACAAAGAAAATCTCCGAACCTGTTAGAAAAAATAAACCCCCCAAATACCCGTGTATTCAAAGTAAACCTCGAAAACACAAAATTCTAATCATAACGTAGGTGTTTAATATCAAAAATGTCTTAGTCAAATACATATGGTACTGTCATTCTTGTAAAAAAATATCAGAGGTTGCTAGATTAAGCACAAGGGCAACAAGGAAAGGTATTTATGGCGAAACTGTAGTACGGACACGCATAAAACACTCAGAGTTTGAGCACACGATCTCATTACTGCCTCAGTAGTCTCAGTAAGCATATGATCGATTTATCCTGGCTTCGATGATACAAATGTTACATTTTGTTTTGTGACGCACAGCTATGCCTAATATTTTTTTTTTAAATGTACATTTTTCAAACGTCCGCGTCAGCGTCTGTCCACCATTGATTGATTCAATTCAATTAAAATATCTAAGCACGTATTAAACACAAGCCCTCCGTTAGCGTTCGGCTAGAGGTAGGACAAAATAACGCGCTTCCGATACAAGCAATGGCGGCCGCAAAGGTTGCTTACCGAACATTTGGAAAAGGTCCCTTCTGTTCAAGGTACGGAAGTGCGCGCCCTGCAGGATGGCGTTAATTGTGACCACTTTCTGGTTTAAACTGTATTTCAAGTAGTTTGTTCTTACAACGTTTCAGATCGAAATAGGGGAACTAAAGTCAAGATTATGCAAACAAGGTAGTCCGATAACATCCTATAAAAACCCTTTGAGAAAGAAGTTCGTGTGGAACCCGCGATTTGCATAACTTAATTTACTTTAAATTTATTTTACTTCCGCTTCTTTAAGTAAACAGCGTCTAGTGAAAGGATCCCTGAACGCATATATGATTATTTTGTTTTATCGGGAATTACTCCAATCCCCAAAAAACAAAATAAAACAAACATGTGGTTCAGCATTATGTGACACGCATCATGAATGCGCGCATTGAAACCATTAATCCTTCGCATGACTCTGTGTGCAATGAATATTGCCAAACTTTCGCAGACGCAAACATGAATGTTCTAGTGATGCAATTTTGAGGCTTAGTTTTATTCAGCAGGTCACCCTCTCAGTTTTGACGTTAATGCAATCATTGTGAGTTTGTTTATTTAAAGACTTAAAGGGCGAAAAAGTTAGATAGCTTAGAAAGTGTGCGCTCTCCAATCCAATGCAAAGTGTAAAATGGTAAACTGAAAACAAATTTGAGATACATTTAATAATTAAAAATTATTTCAAAATATAGAATATAAAAATTTATGTCCCGATCACAACGCTTTATAATTCTGTAACCAGTTTATTTCAAAGGCATCAAGACAAATGGAAATTAAAGAATCTATAAACCAGCGTATGACGTGCGGTACGAACATGATCGTCATAGCGACCTTGCGCGCTTATCGCCGAAGTGGCACTTTTGCTAAATTTCATGTAAAATATACCTGTGGCAGGGATATTACCCTTACTTGCCTTTTGTTAACTTGCTTCAATTAGCCATCGACTAGTTTTTTTCTCTAATTATTAGCGATACGCGTTGCAATTTTGTGGTGATTAAAGTTTTACCAGAAGTACGAGCAAAATAAACTCTATAAAAAACGAAGATGTCTATCATGCACATGCGCTTGTACACTGAACGCGTTAAGGCCCGTTCACACTCTTGCGACCTCTTAAACCTGGGTTCCTTAAAACTTCTTAAACCAGAGAACACACTGGCGCCATCTATTGGGAAGCAGTGTAAACTCGGCGGTCCGGCATATTTTTTTTTTTTATTTCTCGCGCATTGTCCTTTCTTTCTTGGCTCGAAAAACTTTTGTCAATGTTATAAACGAGTCTTTCCATGGGTATTACGCACATTTGAACTCGGAAATCCCGCAAAACCTTCGCTCTTGTGAAATGCAGTTCCAGGGTCACAGCATAGATGGCGCCACAATGCCAGTTTGTTCCCTCATTTTAAAAACATTTAACAAGTTTTAAGAGAACTCGTCTCTCTCAGTCGTACTCGGTCGCACTCGGTCGCAAGAGTGTGAACGGGCCTTTATTTGAAGCATCATGTTTGTGCTCAAAACTTTGCTTTTGTTACAACGTGGCTCAAGCAAAACGTGGCTAAGACGGCACATTCAGGTGTATTCTTTCATCGGATCATTAGACATTAGCGAAATGGACAATTGGGCGAGTTGTTAAGAGTTCATCATAACTTACAGCGCGACTAGGCAAGGGCAGGCAGAGGAGAAGACACATGACAGCCGCTAAACTAGCCACTGATTATATCGAGAAAAAAAAGTTATTTTCAATAAAATCAGTTGCTAGTTCTGTCCTGTGTCTTCTCCTCTGTCTGTCCTGGTACCAGTCGCGTTGTAAGTTATGTTAAGACATTAGGCGTTCTTCGAATTTCTTCGAATCAGAGCGCAGTCGTCACTAGCTTCAACAGTATAAAAACCGATTGACACATTTGCGTTTGACTGTTTGTCATTGCATCGGGAGCCTCTTAACACCTCTCAAGGATGCGGTCCCACGGCAGCCATTTTGATCAAAGCGTTAGCTCAACTAATAGATGGCGACACGCACCCGTGGGGTGACCGGAATATTGGTACACGGTGGGATGGCTCGAGCACCATCACGTTCCCATCGTGGCCTTGCTCGCACCACTGCCAGATGTGCTCAGCTGGCTCAATAGCGTGGCCCAGCAAACTCATGTATGCGAGAATAGAGAGTTTTAGTATATCGTTTCGATGACTCCGATAAGGAAACCCGCTACTTTGCTTCTACCTTTTGCGCATGCATAGTATCGTTATCGGGGGTATCGGAACTATCTACTAAAACTCTCTAATGTCAGGCTGGGTAACAATTGTTCCCTGATATAGGGACATGCGTTTCGGTGGTTGCCACGGGCTTTCGCAATAAATCTTACCAAGGAGGAATCAATTGTTGATTGACGTGTCAATATTCTGTCAATGAAAAATTCTTTTGCTGGAATGCATGCTCAGTAGACTCAACCTTCTAAGACACCAAAGTGGACGTCAAGTAAACCGCTTCGCGATCTACGGTACTTACCTCACCATTATACTGACGACTGAACAGTGACGTCACAAAATATTGTGCTTCACGGTATACGAAAGATGTTGTAAAGGTTGTTTCATTATAGTTCCCAGAAAACAAATGGCCGTTGCAATATTTTCGGAAGTACCGACACACATAATGTTGTAAGTACAGCTTAGGAGGAATATGATAAAGAGCATCAGAATAAATAGGAAGATGTTTACTTGCAATGAAGACGTTATGAATGAGAGGCGTTTAGCTACGGCAAGTGATGAGTGTTCGGGAATTTATACGTTCATGTGATTGCTAACTATAAACATGTCGACAATGAATACCTCTTTTGTCGGGAGATGGAGTTGAGAGGACGACCTGATATCGGACGACTCATGGCAAACGAACAAGCAAGTTTCTTTTCAGCGAATGGTGAGCGTCCAGTGTCAAGCACAGCACGTCGCTACCGACGTTGTCGACGTTTCGAACACTTACCACTTTCAACAAAAGTGTTTGCACCTGGGCTAACTTTGCGGAAAGACTCGAAGTCTTCCTCGAGTCCAGCGCCATTATGAATTGTAACTGAAAAGGATCCACTATTCAGCCGGTGGGTGGCAAAACGTATCCGCATTTGCGGAGTCAAGGTCGATACATGCTCTAAGTGATTGGAAGTATACAAGGTGCATTCTACGACATCCAAACGCGTCATTCACGTTCTACGCTCTCTTTGCGCTACCTTTGCCCCACCGAAAATACTTTTCTCTGATAATGCGCCAAATTTTGTTTCAAATAAAATAAATAAGGGTCTAAAAAAAAAAAAGAAAAACAACGGCATCAGGCATTACATTAGTGCACCATACCATCCTGCACCTGCAACCACCGGGCAAGCAGAACAGATGATGTGCGAAACGAAGAAAGCCCTTTTGAAGCTTATGGAAGAAGGACTTCAGTGAAGAATCGCTAGGTTCTTGTTCCAGGAGCTATAGCGACGATCTCATCTTCCACGGGAAAAATACCCTCCGAAGGAATGTTCCGCAGACGACAAGTCACACCCCTCGATCTCATAATACTATGGCCTACGAACGAAGATCGAGAGATTCCCAGATCGGGAGTAATGGCAGTTCATTCGATCGGACAATTCGTCTACGTGAAGAATTTCAGCGGAAATCCGTCCTTCCATGTTAAACTTGAGTACAAAAGGATCTATATATGTATATATATAAATATATATATATATACATTGCTTGACCAGTAGGTGTCATCCCTCTGAATACGTTGGATATCAATGCCCTTGAGTGTAATATAACGAAATCACAAAAGTCTATTTTTGTATTGTGTAATCTGCCCATGTAATTGATAGTAGAAGCTATGGCGGTGATTTTGACCTTTCACACCAAGCTCCTTTTTCTTATTCTTCACCTCATACTCTTTTGCGGTTTCAGTAGGCTTCAAGAATTTATTAGAACGGGGACCTCAACGAGGCCATTTGTTCCAAGCAGTACATCAGGGTACGCTGCTAGAAATCCGTCATTCATATCATTGGATAAGCCGCACTTTTGCACAGTGCAATTTTTCTGTTCCACGTACAATTGCAA